AACAACATCGCTCGTAAATAGTCGCTATAAATATTAGACTAAAATATAGCGGTAATGATACTAGGTTTTGCCGAAGGAAAATAGTATTGTTAGAAGCGAAGCGCTGCCCGAGTTTGGAATCATCATTTTTAACAAGTGAGTGCATAGTTACTTTCATATTACAAATAGATATGAAGTATTTAATATAAATTACCTTCTATGTGTGTATATTATATGTGTTCTTGATATCTATGCTGGATGAACAAAACATACACGTTTTATTCGATTTAAACTGTATACGTATTTTATACCTATAATTATAATGGGTAAAGATGGGTAGATGAAAGATGAGATGAGAGATGAAAGATGAGATGAATGATGAGAGATGAAAGATGATATAGATGATGAGAATCCTTGACCCAAGCGATGGCCCAGTCATCTAGCAGAGTATAGATGACAACCACAAACTTTTCTAGACAGTCAAATGGAACGCGAGCAGGCTTGCAACCTGTAGGTGTTGTGAATGATGTGTTCACCAGATGTACTCTAAAAACCCATTGACATGTATTGTGGGTGGATTCCCTAAAATAATATTGTCAATAAAAAGAGATAAACCCTGTCAGCTATGGACTTAGTGCCTAACAAATAACATCGGCAACGATGGACTTAGTGCATGTTATATAAACCCTGGCAGCAATGGAATTCGTGCCTATTCCTTAGGATAATCTGTAGGAATAAATGTTGAGGAATAGATGATTCTTAGGGAAGATACTTAAGAATAAAGAAGATATTGCGGATGGGTAATTGGGTTAATTTTTTGATGATAAAACATAATAACTTTATTATTGTGGGTTGAAAACCCTATGTACTCATGAAGTTTCTTAGCCTGACCCACTCAGTTTATTTGTATCATATGTATCGATACGAAGACACATTACACTGAGAGATTAAAGGAGATGTAAATCATTAGTGTAAATAAATGTAAGGTCTGTTTATGGTTATGTTTTTGTATTGACAATGACATCCCAAAGTTTTAATATAAACAAAATACATTTCTTCGGAAATTCCTTGATAATATTATTATCATGTTTTCTGGGAAAAAATTCCGCAATACTACTTTTGAAAATGGTTACTCTAGTTCTTAAATAAGAATAAATAAATTTTTTAAAATGACCGTGAATTTGGGGATGTCACATGAGGCGACCATCGTAAAGGCTCAACTCTCACTACTGTAAACGAACCGTGACTGATTTCATTAAGTTCATACAAGATGCTGGCCTAGAAGATTTAATTCTGGGAGGCCACCAATTTACTTATTGTCATGGCGGGGTCAAGCTGAGCAAACTTGAAAGCTACATGGTATGTCAAAACTTCTTATCTTCTTTTCATCTACTGCTGCAACGACTCTACCTTGGGGATTTTCAGACCATTTCCCGGTTACACTAATATTATAACATATTGATTTTGGACCTCCACCCTTCAAATTCTTCAACTCTTGGCTATTGATAGATGAAATTGAGGATATTGTCCTCCAAGCATGGAATGAAGTTCAAGGATATAGACCTCCTGACTCTTATTTGGCGGCGAAATTGAGACAATTCAAGGATGCAATTCGTAATTGGTGGATCCAAGCTCACATCAAGGAGAATGATATTGTGAAAAAATTGAAATAATCCGTGGAAAACCTTGACAAAATAGTAGAATCAAGACCATTGAATGCATCAGAACTTATAGAACGGAACACCAATTTTCACAAGATTATCGAAGCAGAATGGTTGGTTGCCCTTGATCTGAAACAAAAAAGTAGAGTAAAATGGATGATAGACGGAGATGAAAATACCAAGTTCTTTCATGGCTTCATAAACAACAAAAACAGGCGTACTATGTTAAATGGACTCATGGTTAGTGGACCATAGTCGTTAAAAAAATTAAATGTGAGGTCCTATGTTTCTATAATGATAATTTTAAAGAGAAATGGGTCTCAAGGCCTAAGCTTGTTAGCTCTTTGTTTCGAACTATATCTCCTATTGACGCACTATGTATCGAAGCCCCTATTACAATGGAATAATTGTAGTCAGTCATATCGTCCTGTAGAAGTGACCGGGCCTCGGGCCCAAATGGGTTTACATTCAAATTCATAAAAACCTACTGGGACATTATGAAATCGGATGCCATGGCTTTTGTTAGTCACTTCAAAAAATATGGCACATTTTCTCGAGGTTGGACATCTTCACTGATAACCCATGTTCCTAAAATCAAAGACCCAACTTTGCTTAGTGATTATCAGCCTATAAGCCTGATTGGCTGCATGTATAAAATAATCTCCAAAATTTTTGCATGCCTTCTCAAATCAATAATTGGAAGAGTTATTGGCGTTGTACAATCAATATCTGTTGACAATCAAATACATCCTTGACGACCCACTTATCATTAATGAAATAGACTCATGGGCTAAAAAGGTCATACAAAAGTTACTTCTATTCAAGGTTAATTTTTACAAGGCATTTGGTTCGATCAACTGGAAATACTTGGACTACATTCTCTCACAAATGGGTTTCAAGGAGAAGTGGAGAACATGGATTCATGGATGTCTTTCGTCCCCCTGAACTTCTGTCATTATAAATGGATCCCCAACCAAAGAATTTAGCTTATCTAAAGGTGTGCGCCAGGGAGACCCGCTCTCTCCCTGTCTATTTATCATAGCCATGAAGGAGCTAAATGTAGCACTAAAATCAACATGCAATCAAGGAATATTTAAAGGTATCAAAATTCCAAATGGCGGTCCTCTGATTTCACACTTATTTAATGCCGATGATGTGCTATTCATTACCGAATGGTCCAAGTACAGTATCACTAATCTACGTAGAATCCTAAGGTGATTTCATGCTTCATCCGATATCAAAGTCAATTTCAATAAATCGAGGGTGTTTGGTATTGGAGCCTCCAGTCGTGAAATAAACAGGTGGGTGAATATTCTCGGGTGGGGGTATTCCCATTCAAATATTTGGGTGTACCAATCGGAGCGAACATCAATTTGAAGAAGAATTGGAAACCTATAATCGATCGGTTCAATTTCAAACTTTCAATTTGGAAAGAAAAGATGGTCTCTTTTGGAGGACGATTAACATTACTAAAAGCAGTTCTTGGTAGCCTTCCTACATATTACATCTTTCTTTTCAATGCTCCGCTGGGGGTGTTGGATGCTCTTGAAAATATTAGATGCCGATTGTATGGGCTGGATGTGACACTAAATCCAAAATCCACTGGGTCTCGTGGGACAAAGTTACAACCCCTGTTGATGAGGGAGGATTGGGTGTAGGATCATTGCGTACGCTAAAAACTGCATATATTTTCAAATGGTGGTGGAGACTGAGGGAAGATTAGTCCGCTCTTTGGTGTCGGGTGATATGTGCATAATTAACTACATATTTAATACATATTTTGAATACTTTTAGTTATAATTATGCTTTATATGGAACAAAAGAAACTTAATATGCTTTAATTATGTTTTGTAGCTATAAAGATTTTCTCGAGACAAAAAGGAAGCATACGAGGAGCTGGAAGTAGGAATCGGGAGCAAAAACAAAAGAAGAGAAGAAAAGGTTTGAAGACCATGTTGTGGCGCCAAAACCGCAACATGGTGATTGGAAAAACCGCGACCTTGATGATTACGTAGCAATTATGGTATCTACGCGAAGACCACATCGTGGTGGTGGTCAACCACGACGTGGTGGTTACATTTCCACAACTATAAAATCCCAGCCATTAGGTCGAAGGAGGGGGGATACATTCTGTTCTATGAGGTTAATTACGACTAATAAACCCTTAGAAACCCAGAGGAAGTCAAAATTCAAGAGAAGCTCAAGGATTAAAGAAGATTTAGAAGATATTCAACACTGATCTAGTTGGTTTGCTTATTGAACTTATGTCTAACTTATTTTACTTAGATCAAATGTGTTTTTTTGCTATAATGAGAGGCTAATCACGTTTTACTTCTGTTTGGTGAAGATGAGCTTGATAATTATGTGTTGATTTCAATATTGGATGATTATTATTGGTTTTACTTGTGTTTGATATAAATAAACCCTAGCATGTTTTGGTTCTAGTTTATATTGCTTATAAATCAAATTTTGTATGTTAATTGATCATATTAATTGCATGAATCTATCGCCTAATTATTTAGGATCATTAGATAATTAGAGCAAGAATTAATCACATCTTAGTTTAAGGAATTAAAGCTAGTAACTTGAACTGTGTTTGAGAACATAAATAGTATTAATTTGTACTTGGTTGCTTGAATTGATCATAAAAGAGTAACTCATATCATTCATAGTCCAGTTGTGATATTAACAATTTTGTGTTTAAGTTGTTGATATGTGCATAATTAACTACATATTTAATGCATATTTCTAATACTTTTAGCTACAATCTACTCTAAAAAATGAAGGGTTTTTTTTTGACACATGTCACACTCTCATTCAATTTGCCAAATGTCATTTTGTGGTTATTTTGACTTAATTTCTTTTCCACATGTCATTTCATGGGTTTTTCTATTTTAATAAATTTCACATAATAATTTAATGTAATAATTACAATTAATGTAGTAATAAATGAATATCAATTTCATTAATGGACTTACCTTCCTATTCAAAATTCCCAAATTAAAGCTCATTAGTTTATTTTGTTTACTTAATAATTAATTCTTTTTCTTATTTATCTATAAATCCAAAGTCTTAAATATTTAGACCTTTATATTTAATTTTTTTAATTAACCAATGTAATACATGGGTCTCATACCTAGTTATGCTTTATATGGAACAAAAGATACGTAATATGCTTTAATTATGTTTTGTAGCTGCAAAGACATGATCGCGACAAAAAGGACGCATACGAGGAGTTGGAAGCAGGAAACAAGATCAAAAACAAAAGAAGAGAAGAACAGGTCTGAAGACAACGTCGTGACGCCTTAACCGCGACATGCACCATTAATGTACCGAGAGTGAGAAATAAATAATTTCTTATCACACAACGTACTTCCTCATGAACGGTGAACCATAGGCGCCATATGCAAGCTCAACAGGAATGATGAAGATTGCATTCTCATCATTCTTCTTTGTTTTGATTCCATGATCCCAACCTTTAATTACTTGACCTTGACATAGAGTAAACTGAAACGGAGTTCCCCTATCATGACTGGAATCGAACTGAGTCTCGTCAAGTAAGGTTCCAGTATAATGCACTTCTACCTCATCTCCATTTTCTCGAGTCTCCCAACTTTCACCTTCCTTAAGAAGTTTCTTCTTCAAACCTTGATTATTGATGTCCTTTTCCTCACCAATATTCAATGTCCCCGGGGCATCTTACGTTGTATCATCGATCATTTCATCGTTCATTCCACCAGCTGTTCATGCTTTTTGTGATTTTGTTGATCATCACAAAAAATACAATTTTTTTGTTTAGATCATACGACATGATAGAGTAAAGATAGAGGAGTATCCTGAAGCTGGGAAGAAAGAAAAACTTGAGAAATCCGCAAGAATTATTCTTTGTCGTGAATAAGCTAATGATTGAGACGAAATGCAGATGGAGATCTGATGTTGGTGATGTGGCATAATTGTTCAATCAGTTGATATGGTGATTCACATCAACCAACATTTAATACAAATGTGACAACACAAAGGACTGACACACATCCATGTATCTTTTGTTTCACCCCAAAATAAGTAGACATGATTTGTATGGCTTTAATTTGAATGAATACAAAATGCCAAAAACTTTAATAACTATGCATTTGAAGTTCATTGACTTGGTTTATGGGATACCATGTTTCTTTAAAATTATGTAAAGCTGGTGACATAAGAAATGCAACTGATCTATGGTGCTTGCAGCTATCCATGACTAAAACACCTCCATTTTAAGAGATATATTTTCTCGAGCAGCTGTCACCTTTTCTGAAATCAGATGCAACATTAATTCCAGGACAAAATACCCTTGAAACTTTAGCATTTATTTTTTCTATTATGAGAAAAAAAATCTTTCTGTTGACATAATACATGTAAACCTTATATGCCCATCTTGAAATCAATGCTAAGGGATAAGTTAGATGAGATTTTGAACTTTAAGTCACATTTTTCTTTCCTTTGCTGAACAAGATGTGTACTTAATGATAACAAAAAATATTCATCAAGGACATGTGACAGTGCATGACTATGCTTGCATTGAAAAACGTCCAAGAAAATGACAAAAGTGTTGGATAAGGTGTCTAAGTCCATAACTATATTTGAGATGTACTTGACATGGTCAATTTGGGTTGCACTTCACCCGAACAATTTATGGATAATCTTTTGAGAATAGTATAAGTTATGATTTATTAATATATTATAAGTTCTAATATATTAATATGAAATCATATTATTTAAATAGTATTGATCTAGAATTAATTTAGAATTAATTTGGTGATCAAAAAGCGTGACTAGTTAAATATGGACTCTTGTATTTATATAGTGTGGGCTATTGCTTATTTAAAATGGGCTAGGCTTGCATGGAAAGTCCATGGAGCTTTAACCCATGGATCTCATGGAAATGAAAGGTCATGGGTATTAGGGTTTACATGAATGTAACCCTAATCCACCACACTATATAAAGGAGTCCTTGGCACTTGAAATGGCACTAGTGTGTGTGTGTGAGCAAAGGTGGCCGATTTCTACAAGTGTTCATACTCTCTCTAAAGATTTCCAAAGTTTGTGATGATTTGTGACTTCCATTTGAGGCATCCACATTATTGGTGCTAGGCTCTCAAACTCCAAGCAATCAACCACTACTAAAAGGTATGTAATTCTACTAGTGTTTTATGATTCATGTACACCATAACATGCTAGTTAGAATGTAAACCTTGGAAAGTTATTATTTGCATGTATCTTAGAGAAAACATAGATCCAAGGTTTCTAGGGTTGCATGTACACCATAGGAGTGTTAGAATGCTCAAAACCCTTCAAAAAAGTGCCCTTGCTTTTCATTCATTTCTATAACAGTAAATACCAACATTGGATTCTTATGACCAAAAATCTCTTGCCTGTTTCTCCAAAGATCCTCGTGGAGAGAAAGAGAGAGAGGGAGAGAGTCATCTTTCTTTCTTTGCTAATGGACCCTCCTACCATCTATATGTCTTGATCCTACATGAATCTCTCTTTTCAAGACCACCCTATGTGGTTATGACTCCATTTGTCTTTTTATCACAATTAAAAAAATATACAAAAGATACAACTAGCAACTCCTTTCCCTCTTATAAAAAGGAGTAGACATGACAAGCCTTCTTTGTTGCTTCATTTAGAATGAACACAAGATACCAAAAGCCTTAATAACTCTTTTTTTTCCGAGTAAATTACACGAATGGTCCCTATGGTTTAGGGTAATTTGCACGTTTGGTCCCTAACTTTATTTTTTTAACTCGCAAGGTCCCTACTGTTTGTTTTTGTTACGCGCTTGGTCCCTATATTAGCTAAAAAGACTATTTTTCCCTTTATTTTTTAATTTATTTAAATAAACACACCCCCAACCCCACTCCCCCTTACCTTACCTTACCTACCCCATCATTTTCCCTATTTAAATAATAGACTTTTTAGGTAAGACAGGGACCAAACACGTAATAAAAACAAACAGTAGGGACCAAGCACGTAACAAAAACAAATAGTAGGGACCTTCCGAGTTAAAAAAATAAATTAGGGACTAAACGCGCAAATTACCCCAAACCATAGGGACCTTTCGTCTAATTTACTCTTTATTTTCTTGTACTTCAGCCATGCATTTGAAGTCCATTGATAATGTATTGCCTTATGCAGTTTCATCTTGACCTTCTTCTTGAAATATATGGTACATCTACCTTTCTTAAAAAAACAACGACGACATCCTTGAAACCATCTTCCCAAGAAATAAATAAAGGAGACAATAATGCATGCTGGAAAATAGTGTCAGAAAATCCTTTATAACACTCCATGCTCACATTTAAAAGAATAAAACCATTTGATACTACTTGCAGCTTTTGCATCTACTACATCTTGACAAATCTTGTACTAAAATCTTTTGACAAGAGTTATTTGAACAAATCTTCCAAAAACTTAAGGATCATAAATAATTAAAACAATATATACATACTTTTTCATGTTTATTTTTAAATAAAAATTACACTCTAGTTTTATTTTTATTATTTAAAGTATAACTAGAAAAATAAAATAAACATAATTTAATAACTAAAATACACAAAAGAAAATTTATCTTAAAAAGAAAATTAATTAACATCACACCTTTCTTTAGTGAGAGAGACAACTAATATGGACTTTTAAAACTGCAGACTCTCTCACAACCTCAAAAATTAACAAACAACTTTAGGAACCCATTTGAGAATGGGGTTTTAGAAACATACCTTACTCCTGAATGTTTCTGATCAGTTAAAGAGACATTAGCTCCAGGTTTCTGATATCTTCTCTTCTTTCCAGGAGACTTTTGATTCCAATGCTTCTTTCTAACTTCAATACTTGGCTTTGTTTCAGGATGAGCAAATGTATTCTTGGGAACGCACACTTGCTTCATCTTCCTTGGTTTTGGAGATGACTTCTTTGGAACCCAAATCTTCTTTTTTTGTTTTGCCTTGTAAGAAGTATTATGAAAACAAGAACATACATTAGATAATTTACCAGCTTGAGCTCTTCTGATGTTTAGAGTTGAAGATGGCTCTTGAGTCTTGACATGGTGAGATGGATTCTTCACAGCTTGAACAAACTTATCAGTGTTAACTGATTTGTCAGTGTGTAATGAAGCTTTTCGAGTATGAGCAGCTTGTGGTTTCTCAGCATGAAGCTTATCAATGTGATGGTTGTCAGTGCAAGAACTATTGTGATGTTCATTAGGGTGAAAATTAGAGTTTCTTGATGAAGAACATTCCACAGGCTCATCTTCTGTTTGAACACTTACAGATGAAAAGCTTTTCTTCTGAACTCCTTTTTCTTTTATCTTCTCCTTCATATCTGATATCTCTTCCTCCCTTTCAACCAGCTTCTTCTTTAACACATCTATATCCTTTTGGTTCTGATTGATGACTTTGTATTTCAGATCAAGTTCAGCCCTGGAGAAAACAGATAAGGGAGCCTTTAGATCATATATTAGTTCATAAAAACAAGATAAAGGACTCACATCGACTGCACATTTATTTATTTCACTTTTATTCTTTTATTCTTCATAAAAAACAATTGTATCTTTGTTTATCCTCCCATATAAAAATAGTTCTCTCATCTGAGAGACATTATAAGGACCAAACATACCTGATACATTTAGACAATACAAAATATAAGAAAAAGTACCATACTTTTTCTTCTCTAATTTTGATGTATTCTTCATATTTGGATGATTGTATAAGATTTATTCTTCTTCTGGTTTTCAAGTTTCTGAAAAATGCTTGAACTTCTGAATCTTGAACAGATCCTAGAACATGTGTGATTATGTTCTAGCCTGCTCTAATACCACTTATTGGTCCCAAACCCTTTGTAAATTCGTAGATCAAATATAAACAAGAGCAATAGAACAACAAAAGATTATCAAAGATGTTTTCACTAAGAAAAAGGATCTAAAAAGAGAACATGTTACAAAGACGAATGAAACATATACATCACAAAGACACACTTAGGGTTTTACCCTAATATAAGATTATATACTAATATATCCTATAGAATCCCTTTAATGAAGGGATTGTATCTAATTTACATATAAACTAATTTGGTATAAAAGGAATGGATCAGATCACATCTTTTACAGATTTGGATATCAGCACCAACACATCAGACATTGATCAGAGAATTAGCTTTAGGGAGTCTCACAGATCAAGGCATCATCGTCAGCGTCAGGGAGATCAGCTTTAACTTCAGCATCATCGTCCGGGAGTCATGATGATCAACTTCATCTTCAACAGATAGTGCCATCAGCGAGTGTCATCAGCGTATCACCTGATCAGTGTGTCATCAGTGTATAACCATCTGCGTTTTGACACACTGATCAGTCTTCAGTAGATGGTGTCTTCATGCCTTTGGTGCCGATAGAGTCTCTAGGGTCTTTCAATCATTAGGGGATGTTCTTCAGTCCTCGACATATGAACTTCCATCAACATATCTTTGGATTAAGTAACTAACTATAACTATAGTGTATATATTTTGCATCATCAAATCTATACGACTGAGTGAACCACCAATGCGTAAATTGACAAATAAGAAATCAAAGCATTTTTTCCCACTCACTCCCTTTGTGCACTTGCATCATACGTGTTGTAACTGAGAACAATGTTAACCTAAGTTGAATTGGGTCAGGAACTGAACATAGGCTAATATATAAGTTACAAAAATTTTAGGCCCTATGATTTAGTGTGCCCTGTTCATGGGCACACTTTGAACTCCCCTTGGGCCTACTCTAGAGTAAATAGAATACTTGCATGAATATATATTACATTAACATCTACACGTAGTAGACATGCTCATGTGTGGTCGATTTAACATCTACAGGTCGAAGACCTATCCATATAGGATCAATTAACACCTATAGGTTATAAACCTGCCCATGTATGACTTATAAA